AAATTGTCATATTGCTTTTCCCTCTTATTCAATGTTGTAAGCTTGGTTCTCGAGGAACTTCTCATTGTTGACATGTAGGCTGTGGAAAATAGAAATAAAATCTATTTGTTCATTCTTCTACTGTACTGCCGATCCATCTCCCACGGTTCAGTAAATTTCAGTTATGTGCTTAAATATTAGGAAGCCATCATCTTCTAAAACATATTGTTACCTACTCAAACATATTGTCTTCCTTTGTGTTTCCGGTAAATTATTTATAAAAACACGCGTACAATAGAAGTTGCAGAACCTGCATTGGGCCATGCTCATTTGCTTTGTCCATTTTTTTGAAGAAATAATACTCTCCAGATTCCGAAGCATTCAAAATTATGACTTAGTGTGCTATTACATTTCCCAGTATCGGACGCTATATTTTCTGTGGGAATCATTGACATAGTTCCTTCAGAAAGTTGTATCTCTGAAATGGACAAACTGCTCTTATGTAATTCTACCATCCATTCTGATTTTGAGGCAAATATACATGTTATAGGCGTACTATTGTTCAGGATAGTGTGTGTGACATATGTGGGAACGGGGAGGAAGATGAATATCATGCTGTTATATCATGCACAAAAAGTAAGGCATTGAGATTTGCCATGAGGAAAGAGTGGAGTCTTCCAGAAGAAAAGGAGTTCTGGTACACTGGAACAGACTGGCTACAAATCCTACTGGACAAGTATGATTCAGAGATAAGAAAGAAAATTCTGCTGTTGTTATGGAGAGCCTGGTTTCTACGATATAACTGTATCTACAGTGATGGCAAAGAAACCATTTCGAGATCGGTGATGTTCCTTCTGCATTGTGAGGAGGAATCAGGAATCTGTCGATATCTGCTGTTGGACAGTGAAACAAGAGTTGTTGGTCCCTGTCTGCATCTAGACACACCACGACTAGAAATTAGCCGAACGCCGAGCCAAATGCCTAGTGGAAAGAGCCGCCTGAAGGTGTTGTAAAACTGAACACTGACGCTGCCTTTTTGTCAGGCACAGGCCAAGGGCTGCCGATTCTCTCTCTCTCTCTCCCTCTCCCTCTCTCCCTCTTGCTAATAGAATTATGAACAACCGGTAAGACTAATATTATAGACCTTCTCTCCTCAATCCTACCATGTATTATTTGACTTTTGCGCTAACACAGGAAAAATGTGTTGTAAACTTGTGAGTTGTGCCTTACTTCCTCCGTTCTTAAATACAAATCTTTTTAAAGATTCTAATGCAGACTACATACGAAACAAAATGAGTGAATCTACATTTTCTAAAATATGTCTATATACATAAGTATGTAGTTCGTTTAGGGAGTCGATTGAATCCATAGTCAATTACGGTTTGGTTCGGTGTCGTGTGCGTCAGAGAGTTCGAATGGAGGTAGGACGCGATGGGAGGTGCGCTCCAGTGGTCTGTGACACAAAGGCTAGAGATAGGCCGGCAGGTGGAGCGGGTGCGCTAATGCGAGCGCCCGCTAGCTTGTTGGGTTGGGCCGAGGTTGGCTTTGCTGCGCTGCTGCTGCTACTGCACTGCAAGCGGAAAAAAATACTAAACGGGTTGCACGAGCTGGGCTTAGATTAGGTCTCCGCTTTTATTAATTAATACAGGAAATGGATAAGGCTTAAATAAAATACAGTTTAATTTTGAAACACACCGGAAAAGTTCTCAAAAGTATATATACTAATACAGAAGATAGTAAACATTTTGGAGCCCAATTATGAAATAAAATGCGCATAAGAATTTTCTAAATTTACTTTAGCATTAATAAATATTCATAAAATATTTTTAAACTTCAAAACGAATAACCAAACAATATTTAAAACACTTACCGACTCTTGTATATTGAAGGAGTCTATTACCTTCTCTCACTTAGTTTATTTTTTATTGGATTTTTTTCAAATTTGAAAATCCAAAATATACATTCTAAAATACTTGTCATCGGGCAGGAAGTCAAGCATGGCGTCGATCATGGAGTTGGAGGAGGGGCGGGCGAAGAGGTGTGGCCGGTCGTGGTCGATGTAGTTGATGAAGAGGCCGTGCACCTTGTTCGTGGTGAGTAACCTCCGGCCTATATCGGGAGCCAGCCACCACGCTTTGCCGAGGACGCACGCAGGCAGGCTGCGGAGGACGTGCGCGGCTTTCGTTGTCAACATGGCCACGAGTGAATGCGTGGAGGCGATCGATGGCTGTGGATGGATGGATGTTATCTTATCTGTCTCAAAAAAAAAACAGATGAGGAGTTTCAGAATGTAGCGTGTTTATCAGGAATTCAGGATAAGGATCAGCTTCATAGTGACTCATCTATGTTGCTTTCTTCTTTGGATCAGCTTCATAGTGACTCATCCATGTTGCTTTCTTCTTTGATCCTCCACAAATCATCCACTGTGCCTGATTAGCAATAATATAAGGGATAAGTATATTTTTAGTCCCTCAACTCTCTCGATAATATAGAAATGGTCCCTCAACTCCAAAACCAGTAAAACTTAGTCCCTCAATTTTTTAAACCGGATAAGTTTAGTCCCTCATACCACTTGTTGTTTCGTTGATCATATGGGATGGTTTTGACCCTCGTGGTCGTGGCAGCTTCTGCGAGGGAAGCAGCCTGCTGGAGCTTGGCCAGCGTTCACGCCACCTCTAGCTTGGTCACCGTACTCGCCACATCGAGCTTTGACGAGGCATGGGCGCCGGCCACGGCGAGGCCGATGAGGTCCTTGGCTGGCACCGCGTTTCATTGACATTAAGCTGAACACCACGGTACAATTTATTTTGCATTGCCATTTTTTTCTGGTTCCTCATATCAGTCGAAGCTAGCTACTACCAGGTTGATGGATTCCTCCAGGGTAAATCGATTATCTAGCATGCGTTGCTTGTGTACGTATGCATCTCTCTTCGTGTAGCGTGTACTGCGGTACCTAGCTCGGAAAGAAATCGAGCTAGCCGTGCACCTTGCCGGAAAGGACGCGTCCCGGCTAGAAGTACACAAGTAACAGATGCATTCACGATTGGAGCCCGCGCGGACTGGGGCGGCCGCCGTCGTCCTACCGGCCGGTTTGAGATACTGTCCCTGTCCGGCGCCGGCGTCTCCTGGAACAACGGGGCTCGCCGCGTACCGTGATGGGAGAGCTGTCCGCGTCCGGGCTCTGGCCCCGTCATGGTGATTGCAGCCACGTCCGGCAACACCACGTACGAGAGGCTGCCGCTGGATCAAGACGCCAAGAATGCGCCATGGACCCGTGCCTGGCATTGGTGTGGAGGAGGAAAAGAGCCGGTATCGGCCCCCCTCCTGCTCCAGGTTCAAGCTACGACGAGGGCCGTGTAGCCACCGGCCACCGCGAGCTCCTCCCACCTCTCCATGTCTCTCCAATATCCCGATCTAAGTTGGCAACAGCAGCAAGTAGCCGACGAGCGCAGGTGGCAGGAGCCCACGAGCCAGAATGTGCACATCAACTATTCGATGAAATGCCTATTGCGTGGGAAAATAGAACGAAAAAGAGGTGATAGTCAACTCTGAATACTAGGGTCAAAACCATGCTACATCATCAACGAAACCACCCGAGGGACTAAAGTTATCCGGTTTGAGAAGTTGAGGGACTAACCTTTACCGGTTTCAAAGTTGAGGGACGATTTCTATATTTTTGAGAGAGTTGAGGGACGAAAAATATACTTATCCCATAATATAACCATTTTTATCACTAAAATTTTCCCTTCTGCATAGCCCATACCTGGAAAACGCGTTAGTGAAAATTTATACAGTACTATGTAGAGATAGTTCACACCTGATCCATAGGTGCATCTTGGTTTTTTCTTTGGAGATTTTTGAGATTTTAAATACTCTTTTCAGATTTGTTTTAAAGACCGGGCTCCATGGAGCTATCCAATATTCATATTTGATACACGTAGTCATGAATAAGTGATTGCTCCTGATTTCTGCTCCTAACTGAGCAGTGATGTTGAGCGTGTGCATTGCACTGCATTCGTGGCACCACGAGGAGCTGACCTGATGTCTGGGGGTTAGCCATAGGAGGGTCTTGTATAGTTAGGAGGTGTAGCAATGCACAATCAACAGCAACGACACATGTGGCTCTTTCTTTTTTTCTTTTGAATTGTCGCTCTAGCCACAATCGACAGAGATACCCTGGTTACGCTCATAATCAGTGCAAGGAGTCAAGTCGAAAATGGATCTTTTTGTTTCCTATTTTGTATTGCAAAAAGAAAAAGAAAAACTATTCTCCTGGCATGAGAACTAACTATTGTGCAAACATCTTATAAAGCAATGCTACTATTAGTTGGAGACTCTCAGTTGTGCAAACATCTTTATTCAAAATAAGACTGAACAAAACGATGGGCGTTATAAATCGGAAATTCACAAGGGCACGCACCTGCCAAGCCCTGCCCGAACACTCGATTGCCTCATGATCCACAAAGTAGTTGAATCCCGCGCAAGGGTACAATAAGTTTTAAGTTTCAATGTTGAAACTTACAATTTTTGCATCTGAACAATTCCTATTTTCTTGCTCGCTTGTACCAAGTTTCAAAGACAAAATTTTAAGAGATTTTTTTTGTCGTCTGTAGACACAAAATACGTGATTTTTATCGATCGCTCGTACTAACTTTTGACATTGAAACTTATCTTTTTTAAATCATCAAAAAATAGTCAAAGTGAATCTTATTTGAAATGATGGTCATGAGGAAGAATATGAAAAAAAAACTTAATTTGGAATTTTCGTTAAAAAGATATAGAACTTTGAAAATCATAAGCCAAAATAAAAAGCCCTCATCCGAGACTTGCAGGTCCCACAACTCGCGTGCCCTAAATCCTCACTCCGTTATAGATAGCATATGACCAATATGGAAAAAATGAATCGACATACATAACCAATGAACGAGGTGCCTGATAAAAAAAAACAGGGCTCAACCATGTACACACCATTGTCACTTTATCTATTGTTGCCAGCATTGTTACTCAATCAATGATAATATTCAAGATGAGGTCTGGTCAATATTTCCTGCAATAAGCTCACCCACCATACATGGAGTATATACAAATGCCTCAAATATGCCATTTGAATGGCCATAGTAGTAACTTTTTGGGCTTGGGCGTGAGTTGCCAAGATACTGAACTTTTGAGGTATTCAAATGATAGCCCACCACTTCGAATACAGTAGTCAAATAGACAACGTCCTTGTAAGGATGTAATCCAAGAATATCAAAGTGTTTGGGGTATTCATCGGCATCCAATTTCATTGTAAAAAAGTCATCATTGTCAGAATCCCAGTCAAATCTCTCTTTTGGCAAAGTTATAGCAGCAACATCACCATCCTCATGATCTGTGTCAAGCGCATCATGTACAATCCAATGTGCATCCATTTGTCTGCCATATTTTCCTACATGTTGGGCATAGTGTGCAAGGTCATGTTGATACTTTAAGACCCACTCCATCTGTTGTTCACTTAATTCACTAAGAATCCAAACACGTAGTTGGGACTCTTCAGTTACTCCAAAGTACACCCCTTTCTCGGACCTCCCTAGATAAGGTTTTACAAATACATCATTCTCGCCATATGATGGTGTTTTAATCACTTGGTATGTACTGTCTGATAGTGAAAGCCTGTAAAAATAGCAATTTAGACTCACATGACATATAAAGCATTAAATAATTAAAACTCTACCATATTGCTATTAGAGATACAACAGCCAAAACCAACGACGAAGAACAAATAAAACACAGGGGGAAAAGGATTTTAACCTAGAAAACCCTCCAACACAAAGAGAAAAACCCACGGGCACAATCCAACAAATCTTCACTATATCGGGAGAGGTTACAAACGCCAGGGGTTTATAATGATGATCTTATCTCATGCGGCGGCTTACAAAGGATATATATAGTAGAGGTGACCTCGGTCGTAACTAATCACAACATAACAATAGCTGGTTGATACTAATACATGGAAGTACAACCTGTTGTTGTCTAATTTATGTAAGTGCCACAAGCAAGAAATTAGTGCATTATTTTCTCACAACGAATATCACCATATTGTATGCCCATTCATCTTTCTAATTTTTTTTGTATATAGTACCTAACTAATTTGTTGACATGTCTTTCATAAAACTAGGACCAATATTGTACACCCATCCATCTTTCTAAAATTTTCTATATTTGACCAAGTTTATAGGAAATGGGGCTAGTATCTACAAAACCAAATATATATGTGAATCTAGTGAGTACTCAAATGTGTGAAGAAGCTAGACTAATAGAGGTGAGGTGATCCAATAACTAAAGTTTGCAAGCACAAATAAAACCTTGTAGTGCATGATAAACGATGGTAAACTAACTAATATCATTTTTGTGTTGGAAAAATAGATCAATACTTATATATATACCTCAAAACAAAGAAACCTCGGCAGTGCACGTAAAGCGCTCCTTGGTAATACACTGCATAGCGCTGACGTGGCCCCATCCCAGATGGCTCCGCTCGATCCACGAGCATGTCTCCAACTGTTCCCGCCGGCTCTCCCTGGCGGATGAAATCCCTTTCCTCCCACTGACAAGTCCTCGATGAAAACATGTTCAACCTCCATGGAGTCGGTGGCCATTCTGATTCCATCAAGCGGCGCGGGTCATTATCTTCATCCGCAAATAGTCGGTCTAGCGGCTTTTCTTCGTTGCCTTTCCCGATGGCTTGCTTTGGTGGCTTCTCAGGCTCCGGCACTGCAGGGACCACCAGCACCTCGTAGTGGGGCGACCCGGCTGGATCAAAGGCAAGGTATATACCGCCCACCCACCGCCAGGCCCAAGGAATAAATGTACATTGCCTTGTCGCCGGGTTGCACACGCAAAGCTCCGGGGTTCCCATGTTGCACAGGAGGAGGCCGTTGCTGTGGTCCAGGACCGACCACCACCAGCGCCGCTTGTCTTTGTCGTCATCGGGCAGGAACTCAAGCATGGCGTCGATCACGGAGTTGGAGGAGGGGCGGGCGAAGAGGTGTGGCCGGTCGTGGTCGATGTAGTTGATGAAGAGGCCGTGCACCTTGTTCGTGGTGAGAAATCTCCGGATTGTGTTGGGCGCCAGCCACGAAGCTTTGCCGACGACGCACGGCCTGGCCGCGGAGAGGGCGGCGCTCCATGCAGGCAAGCAGCGGAGGACGCGCGCGGCTTTCGTCGCCATGGCCATGAGTGAATGCGTGCGTGGAGGCGATGGCGCGTTAGGTTAGGTTTCCACCAACGGTGGGTCGGCGGCGCGTGGGCGTGGCTCCATCCGCTGTAATCCAAGATGCGACCGGAATCGATGGCCCTACAAGTCCTCAGGCCCTATTAGCAAACCAACCCGCCTTGGCTTGGCTGGTTCGATGTTATGCCTCATCGTTGGATGATGCAGGCGGTAACTTACAAAGAAAAATACGAGTAAAAAAAACTTACAAAGAAAAATACGAGTAAAAAAAACTTACAAAGGAAAATAGGAAATAGAAGAGCTTCATTATGTAGCCTGCGTATAAGGATAAAAGCAACCCTAGCAGATGCCGCATATCGCCTTCCTCGCAAACCGCTGTTTTACAGTACCAAGACAAAAAAATCATCTAACGAGGTCCCGTAAAAGGGTTCGTCCCTTAAATCCTTTTGCAGGAAGCTGTATAATTCGGATGATGTCCTGTAAAATGGTTCGTCCCTTAAATCTTTTTGCGTGAAACTGTATAATTCGGCCTGCGTCCACCATATGTCCAGTTTTTCCTCCTCCTTTTACAGTTTTCTCTGTCCCTCGGGTGACTTGGCAGGAGGGAAATTTCAGAACCAACCGCTCTCATCGCATCTGACGCCACCGGCGCTTCACCCTCCCGAGCGCTAACTGCCACCGGCGCCACGAGGAATCGAGAGGGACCAGTGGCCGCATCCGCCCCGCCTCAGGCGCGAGCAGCAGGAGCTCGGTAGCATCCATATCAGCTCGGGTGCGAGCAGCAAGAGCTCGGCCGCATCCGCAGCAGCGCACCGCCTTGGGCGCGGGCGCAAGCAACAACAGGTCCAAAATCAACAATCATTAGTTTCTGGACATGCCCTTCTCGTCATCAAGCGCATAAGAGCTAAGAAGAAATGACCCGCTCGGAGTCGCCTAGCGTAGCATAACCTCTCCTCGCTCACGCGGATGCGTTGGCGGTTGGCCACATCCAGAATCAACAGTGTCCGTTCCTCGACCTAGCCGCGATTTCCTTCCTCCGTACATGCAGGCGTAGGCAGCACGCTGCCGCTCGACAACAACTGCAATAGGGCGCCATTCGAGCACGAGCCACGGGCCGCCGCGCCCCCATTCCTGACATGCTCATGGCTAGTTGCGTCGTTGGGGTCTTCAGGGACCTTGTTGTAATCTTGCTTTTGATTTTAGGGTGTGTTGTGCTATTGTTTAGGGACCTTGTTGTAAATTCAACTACTAATTAGTAGGCTTCATATCTAACCCGAAACATTTTACGGAATCGGCTCCATCCGATACCGCATGGCACCGCAAAATCTGTTTTAGGGCAAGCCGTAAACTGCTTTTGCAGGACGCGTTTTTGCGATATCTGCTAGAGTTCCTCTAAGGATCTCAGCTTCATAGTGACCCATGCATCGCATGCATGCTGCTTGTCCCTTGGATCATCCACAAATCATCCATGGGGCATGTTATTAGCAAACACTAGTATATACTCACTCCGTCTCATTATATAGGACATTTTTTTATACTAGTGTAGCATCGTTATGGGACGAAGAGAGTAGTACGTTTGTATCCCTAATCCCCCCCTGTTTTCATAGCTGATACACTGAAAATGAGTGAAAAATTATAGTACTGGACAGTTGACATCCATAATGCCAATTTTTAATTTGCTGAACATACCGTGCACAAGCAAGAAAATGTCGACTAAGAAAAGTCTGAATAACCTGCTGTTATGTTTAAAGTTGTAACGCAATATAACTGACGATATCTGGCACAAGCTAGGGGCCGGGTATGCTAATTTGAGATAGGACAAACATGGTTATCATAGAAATATCTTGTTCTCGCGATTAAGAAGATAATAGAGTTTTTGATCCAAAAAGAGTGGAAAAGAGATGTTTGGTGTCCTCCTTGAATTGACGGGGAGAGTGCCCAATACAAGACCTCCTGACAATAAAGACCTTCCCTAGCTAACTCCCCCACCACAGGTAGTATATCAACTGTCTAGTACTATAAATTTTCCGAAGAAAAAAGTATACACATACATGTACCATGTTCACCTTCAGTAAGTTGTATGTTGGCAAAAACATGTACCGAATCTAGGCATGATAAAACATTGAGTCGCAGCTCCGAATGGGTAGAAGAACACTTTTCTGTTGGGCAACCATACAAGGAAACGAAGTAAGCAAAATTATATGAAGTTCTAGTACTTAGTTGGAGGCTGGTTGCAAATATTTATTGTTTGAAATAAGACACACAGAGGGACAAAACGATGGGCCTTCTAGACATTATATGACCCGTTATTGAAATTTATATCAACCATATAAAGTTTGCTCCTACATAGACTTCTCTTTAGAGCTCGGGCTCCATGGAGCCCGAGTTTGACTTGATCAAAATTCAAATTTGTACGTTTCAAAAACTTTTGAAAAAAATGCACACATACTTAGAGACATAAAGCATATGTGTGTAAATTTTCAGGACGAAACACCTTAAAATGAGTGCTATTTTTAGTAGATGCACTATTCATCCTCAAAGTCCTTGAATTTGTCTTTTTTGCACAGATCGCATTTTAGGGTATTTCATCCTCAAATTTTACATACGTACACATAACATCCTTGTTTACTTGTACGATTTTTTTTCAGATTTTTTTCAAAACTGAAAAGTGCGAATTTTGAATTTTTCAAAAAATCCGGCCTCCATGGAAGCCGAGCTTCAAAATGCCCTTAGAGTGGCATTGTGGCTCCTAGGTGTAGATAGACCTATTATGTAATACGTATAAAAAACATTTCGAAATGTTAAAAAGTTTCGAGAAAAATACCACGTGTACATCCAAACATCCTATGTTTGCACAGAAAATTCCGATGAAAAGGGACATTTTTTGTGACATTGTTCGTAGTGAGAAACCGGTGGCATGTGTTGTGCGCCGGCCTCGACGCTTTGCCGAGGACGCACGGCCGGGCCGCGCTCATCGCAGGCAGGCGGCGGAGGACGTGGGCGGCTTTCGTCAACATGGCCATGGCCATGTGGGTGGGATGGACGCGAGCGATGGCTTTGCTAGGTCTTGACAGTCGGGCGGCGGCGCGCGGCGGCTGCATGCGCTGTAACGGAAGATGCATCCATCCTGAACGTCAGTCAAACGCGCCGGCTGTGGGCTAGGTCAAGTCAACAGGCCCAGCAAGTGCCGTCCGGCCTGGCCTGATGCCCAACATGCAGACACGGTGACATGTTTTGCACCAAACTAGTAAGATGCCCGTGATAACTACGGGATCACACAAGATTAGGTGGATTTTAAGTGATAGTCAGGAACCATACTGCTATGGACAACAACAAAAAAAAATACCTGAGGCATATTCAGGAACCGTATGTTGCTACTGACAATAAAAAAATGTACCATGACATTGGTCGATGCTATATTGTTGATAGGTACACATCGAGCGCAATCAATCATATAATTTCCAATCAATAAACTCCGTCATTGAAGTCAAACATTTCTTATCCATCTCGTCTGACAGGAAGACTTCTTGTTCTCCCTAGCTACTCACCTTTCGCAATGTTCTCATTATCCTATATCTAGGGGACATATAGCATATTAATAAAACATATAGTTTGCTAAGTGTATTATAGTCACACAAACAAATCACACTCAGAGAACTCACATGGAAAAACAAAACACAAAATAAAAACGCTTGATACAGAACTCGCATACATAAGAGAGTATATAAAAGTACAAACAAAATGATGACAGCTCACTAAGCTAAACTACTATGCAAAATGATGTGACATACGTCAACGTCTTTCCAACATTGGCTTTGTTAATTGCATGGCATGCAAGGGTCAGAACTCACAACTGATGCTCCGTATTGTGACAGATGCCTACTGCTGTTATCCGAAATGATTTGTATCAAAGAAACTAACTGCTATAATGCTTGTCAAAATATTAGTGCAGTTGTTGTTTTTCCACGCATAGGGCCTAATTTTGATTTGCACATGGCCTCTGATTTCCCTGGTACGACCCTGTCTAGGGTTAGGTTTTGTTGTAGCAAAGCAAGGGAGCTCCTATCTGCCGCTTATTGCGAAAAATTACAATGGTTGTCAAAAAAACATGAAACTCATAATTTGTCATGCTATTATAAACTAAATTTGCCATGGTTAATTACCATGATCAAAATGAACAATATAGTTGCCATGGTTAATTAATAAGAAACTAGAATTTTCTATGATCTATGAACTAAATTTGCCATGGTCAATTACTAAATTTAACATTATCAACAAAAAATAAATTTGCCATGGTTAAATAATGATATTTGTCATGGTTTGTTAACTAAATTTGCCATGGTTGTTTGCTAACGATTGTCATCGTCTTGGCAAAAAAAAGTAAAAAATTGCCATCCTACGAAAGAAAAAAATTGGCATGTTCTTAAAAGGTGCATGTTATGAAGATCAAAAAATCATAAATTTTTTCCATGGACATATATACTGACCCGGTCAACCAAAACATTCGATCCACCATATTTGCTTGATTCAACATCGAAGTAACATTCAATGAGGCGTATTAGCAGCAATTATGAACGTCCAAGATTGCTTGGCACTACTACACTTGTATTGAAAAGGCAGTGCAAAGGCAATTGAAACAAAATCATAGTAGTACCGAATCAAAACAGAGGTGGAATCGATCGATCAATCAGGCTAGCGCTTGAAAAAAAAATCGCAATGATGAGATGGATGGATGCATGTTGTACCCAGAGCTTGCGGCAGATGGAGGGCTCATGGCTGACGGCGCCGTTGATCCACTCGGAGCAGAAGCCGGAGTGGCTGCCACCGGAAACAGAGGTGGCAATTTTGAAGGTGGATGAACTGAAAAAATGAAGAGAAGGGGTGAGCAGGATGATATACCTACAGATACGGCATTATAGAACACCTTGAGTATCCTACACGTACGGGATGCTACCTGCATGTAAATGAAGTCGTGTGGCTCGACGGTGCAGCTAAAGGCCTTGAGCAGCCTGGCGGTGTAGTTAGCGGCGCCTTGTGCTGGCCTCGTTCGGTTTTGCCTGAAACCGTTGCTGTATGATTTGGGATGTTGAAGGCCAGAAGCAGCATGTCTGATAACATGCATGGAGCGCGACGCCTTGTGCTGGCCGAGGCGGCGAAGACCACCTCGTTCACGTCCTCATCACTAGCTTCGTTCACCGTGGAGCACTGCGGGCCACAGCCGCAATGACCACACGTATAGAGGCGGATCCGACTTCCGACGCCGGCCGCATCGGCGCGGGCGAGCAGGCGCGCTCAGCTCTGCCCACTGGCGGCACCTCGACCGGTTCCACGACGAGCTTGCGGAGGTAGGCGTACCCGGAGTTGTTAGAATACGTATAGGATTTTCACAGGACTGCGGCGGCGGCCTGATGGTCAGCGTTGGCGAAGATCTCTCCGAAACAAAAATCTGTACACCCCTGCTCTATCCGAAATCAGAACAAACTCTCTCTCAAAAAAATAAAATACACAACAAAGTCAAGTAGGACTCGAGTCCGGTTTCAGTGGAAGCAAAGCCGAAACCAGGTATCTGAGGTCGGTACACACAACCAATAAATAAATAAGCACAGGCATAGGTCGATCCATACATATCGAGGTCTCACGTGCCCCAAAAACTCTCCAAAAAAACATGCCCCCAAAAAAACGACGCCGGACGTCGGACGCAGCGATGGATCCACAACGCATCGTCTACAGAGACTTTCCCGCCGACGTGCTGGCGAATATCCTGATGCGCCTCCCGCCCAACACCCGCCGCCGGCTCCGCCTCGTCTGCCGGCACTGGCGCGACATCGTGGGCACGCGCACCGCCACGAACCTGCGGAGCCGCGCCAAGATACTCGTCGCCGCGACGGGCACTGCGTACGTCATCGACAACCTATCTGCGCCAGTGAAGCCCAGAGAGCTGTGGGCCGACGCGCTCACGGAATACCACTTCAAGGACACAAGCGTGTTCATGAGCGTGGTCGGCACCTGCAACGGCCTCATCTGCCTGTGTGATGACCAGAAGCTCGGCGGCCCCATCACCGTGGCCAACCCTGTCACCAGCGAAGCGCTGCGCATCCCGCCGCTGCCGCCGCCGCGGCCTGGCGCCGACATGTGCTTTGACAGGAGCTGGCACGCGGCCTACAGCTTCGCGTACCTCCCGACTTCGGGACTGTACAAGATCGTGCACGTCCCGTGCCACCTGAACGGGTCCGTCTACGACATGGTGCACGTGATTACGCTGGGGGAGGCATCCTGGCGGGGTGTGCCGGCCGGCTCGGGCGCGAGATGCAGCCTCGGTGACAACGTCGTCAGTGTCGACGGCGTGACGTACTGGACCACGCCGGAGACCGACAAGGTTATGTCGTTCGACCTCGAGGACGAACGCATCACGCCCATCATGTTACTACCTTCCGTAGTGCTGTCCAGCTCCAAAAATGGCGGCAGCTGGCACCTAGCAGAGGTGCACGGGAGGCTGGCCATCGTCTTTAGCAATTTCTCACCGTCAATGGAGACGACGGAGGTCTGGGTAATGCAGGGTCGTACGGCGGGGAAGATCAGGTGGAGCCGCTGGTACATCATCCAGATGAGAACGCCACGGCACCGGCCGCGGGAGCCGTCGAGAACAAAGATGCGACGTCTCACGTGGCCGCTCCTCGTCCACGACGAGCAGATCCTCACATGGGAGTGGTCGTTGTATGAACGAGATCGTGTCTTGTATAGGCACACACCGATCGACGAGGACACAAGAATGGTGAAGCACGGCATGGTGGATATCAGCGACAGGAATCGGGGGATAGTGGTTGCCAACATTAGTATGGTGCCGCACCGCAACGACCGTCGGACATTCGCTTACGTGGAAACCAAGGAACCATTGAGTGCGTACGGACCAGTTCATCGGTTAGTGTTTTGGCGAGAAAACATATTGCGCAGAATTTTGTTAAAAGGTTGTTAACTGCGAGTCATTTTTTAGGCCACATGTTAGATTTTCAATCGAGTGTTTAGTCAAATCTCAATTGGTATCAATTGAGTTGTCAATCGATTAATGAATGGGCGAAGTAAGCATAACTCAGACGGTTAAGTTTTTTGTTCTAGACTAGCCCATCTGGGATCAAGTCTTCATCAATCTCAAGATGTTGCTCTGGCTAAGTATCCCAAAGGTAGGGTATGCGTGGGTACATTCATGAAGGTAATTATATGTATGTGTGGATGGGCATATGCTTTGTATTGTGTTAAGAAAAATCGATAAACAAAAGGACAAAAAATGCAAAAATATCCTTCGCCGATGCAAGGTTTTGGTTACCGAGTATCAAAAAATTATTTGGAGGGGGGAGTGGGGCGAAAAATGCGGTTACCATGGTTACCACGTAATACCGAACAAATACCGTTTGGAATTTTCAACTGTAATTCAAATTCAAATATTTTGAACAAGTAAAATAGTTAAGGCACTAGCTTTTAACAAGAGTGAGCTCATAGCGTAGTGGTTGTTAGTCATAGGCTTATGTCCTCAGTGCCTTGGTGGTTCTCGAGTTCGAACCCTGACGTCCCAACTTGATAACCATGCGGTAACTCCAAATTTCGAGTGGTAACCAAAACACTAAAATGATATAGATTTTGAGTTTAGTTAAACATCACCAGAGTTCTACTCGATTTCGAAACTAGTAGTTCGTGCCATCAAACATCACCGGAGTTCCACATAGAACATAATTCTTACAAGCTTAATTAAACATAGTTCAAACAGAAATTAAACTAGTTCATACTCAAATAACTAACTAGTTCATACTTAAAACGTGCGGTTCTATTCGTCCGCACCGGAGCAGGAGTCGCCATCACCGTCGCCGCAGGGGAGCTGGGGCCGCCATCACCGTCGCCGCCACGGGAACTGGGGCCGTGGAGGTGGTACTCCATGAGGGTGCTCGAGAGTACCTGGGCGAGCTGGTACTCCTCGAACAACCCCGGGGCCCGTGCCACTGCAGCCTCATCACCGGCGGCGTCCGCCTCCTTCGCTTCCCACCAGGCGTGCTCGGCCTCCCAGAGACACTGGATGGCCTGAATCGAATATCCGCCCGAGGCGACGGAAGTTGCTGCACGCCGGCGCTGTGGGAGCACGCGCCACGGCGGCGCGCCTGCTCCTTGCATTATTCCCGCAGTTCACGCCGGAGTAGAGGAATCACGGCGGAGGCGGATAGAGGGAAAGCGGGATATATACCGGAATCGGCAGCGTCCACATCAGCTCGGGTGCAAGCAGCAAGAGCTCGGCCACATCCGCAGTAGCGCCCGCCTCGGGCGCGGGCGCGAGCGGCAACATGTCCAGAATAAACAGTTATTAGTTTCTGGACTTGCCCTTCTCGTTGTCAAGCGCATAAGAGCTAAGAAGAAATGGCCCGTCCGGAGTCGCCTAGTGTAGCGTAACCTCCCCTCGCTCACGTCGGATGCCTAATATGTGTCATTTGAATGGCCATAGTAGTTACTTTTTGGGCTTGGGCGTGAGTTGCCAAGATACTGAACTTTTGAGGTATTCAAATGATAGCCCACCACTTTGAATGTAGTGGTCAAATAGACAACTTCTTTATAAGGATGTAATCCAAGAATATCAAAGTGTTTGGGGTATTCATCGGCATCAAATTTAATTGTAAATAAATTATCATTGTCAGATCTCTCTTTCTCGGCAAAGCAGCAGGTCGGGCATGCGCACGAGCAGCAACAGGTCCAGAATCAATAGTCATTAGTTTCTGGACCTGCCCTTCTCGTTGTCAAGGGCATAAGAGCTAAGAAGAAGTGGCCCACCTAGAGTCACCTAGCGTAGCGCAGCCTCCCCTCGCTCAAGCGGATTCGTCGGCGCTTGGCCACATCCAGAATCAACAGTATCCATTCGTCGACCTTGCCGGGATTTCCTTCTTCCATACATGTAGGCGTAGGCAGCACACTACCGCTCGACAACTACTACAATAGGGCGCAGTTTGAGCACGAGCCTCGGGACGCCGCGCCCCCGTTCCTATCATGCTTACGGCTAGTTGCTTCGTTGGGGTCGTCGGGGACCCTATTGTAATCTAGCTTTTGATTTTAGGGTGTGTTGTGCTATTGTGTAGGGACGTTGTTGTAAATTCAACTACTAACTAATAGGCTTCATATCTGACCTGAAACATTTTTCACGGGATCTGTTCCGTCCGAAACCGCGCGGTACCATAAAATATGTTTTAGTGCGAGCCGTATACTACTTTTGCAGGACGTGTTTTTGCGATATCTGCTAGAGTTCCTCTAAGGATCTCAGCTTCATAGTGACCCATGCATCGCATGCATACTGCTTGTTCCTTGGATCAGCCACAAATCCTCCATGGGGCCTGCTATTAGCAAACACTAGTATATAGTACATCTGTATCCCTAATTCTTTTCTTTTTTACATACCCGATACATTGAAAATGCATTAGTGAAAAATTATAGTACTAGACAGTTGACATCCATAGGTACGTGTAGATTTTTTTCTTCGGAAAATTTATAGTACTAGACAGTTGACATACCTGTGGTCAAGGAGTTAGCTAGGGAAGGTCTTTATTGTCAAGAGGTCTTGTATTGTGCACTCCGTCAATTCAAGGAGTCAAAGTCGACACCAAACATCTCTTTTCCACTCTTTTTGGTTCAAAAACTCTATTATCTTTTTCATCGCGAGAACAAGATATTTCTATGATAACCATGTTTGTGCTATCTCAAATTAGTATACCCCTAGCTTGTGCCAGATATCGTTCGTTATATTGCATTATAACTTTAAACATAACAGTAGGTTATTAAGAATTTTCTTAGTCGACATTTTCATACTTGTGCATGATATGTTTAGCAAATTAAAATTTGGCATACATATACCATGTTCACCTTCAGTAAGTTGTATGTTGGCAAAACATTTATCGAATCTAGGCATGATAAACCATTTGAGTCGCAGCTCCAAATGGGTAGAACGACACTTTTCTGTTGGGCAACCATACAAGGAAACGAAGTAAACAAAATCATATGAAGCAATAGTACTTAGCCGGAGACTCTGGTTTGCAAACATTTATTATTTCAAATAAGACCTACGGAGGGACAAAACGATGGGCGTTTTATACATTATATGATCCATTATTGAAACTTAATATCAATGCATATAGTTTGCTCCTACATAGAATAGTATATAGTACGTAAGAAATGAACCTACACACATAAACCAAGAACAAACCACCTAATGGGAAAAAATCACGGACAAGCCAGGGCTCAAACATGAAGACACCGCTTTACGATTTTTTTTCTTCCGAAAAGGGGATAAACCTGGCTTCTGTATCATGCGATGCACAAATCCATGCCATCTTTAAGATGTGCTCCGCTTATTATGTCCTTCATTAAGATCACCAGCCATACATGGACTATACACAAACGACTCATATATTCCGTTTGTATGGTTAACGTAGTAACTTTCTGGGCATGAGTTGCCAAGATATTGAACCTTTGAGTCTTTCAAATGATAGGCCACTACGCTAAACATTTGATTCAGAAAGACAACTTCCTTGCAAGGATGGAATCCAAGAACAAAAAAGAACTTGGCGTATTCATTGGGATCAAATTTAACTGTAAAAAAGTCATCATTGTCAGAATACCAGTCAAATCTCACTTTCCCCGAAGTTCTAGCCTCATGATGAGTGTCAGACACATCATGTACCATCCAAGGTGCATCCATTTGGCGCTCAAATTTTCCTAGATGTAGGGCATACTGGGCAAGGTCATGTTGATACTTTAAGATCCCCTCCATCGGTTGTTCACTTCTCCACTACTATTAAACAATCGAGTTGAGGCAGAAACATTAGATCTCAACCACACATTCATCGTTCATCAATAGACCGGATAGCCCCAATGTTGTATCACATCAATTCCACAAATTTACTAATTAATTTAAATCATTTACACAACACCTTAATTGCATCTTCATTGGGAAAAGATCTGTCACACCATATATCACGTGCCTTAAAGAACACCTACTACCAAAACAACACACCTGAATAATTAATTAAATCCTTCTCCATCACCACAGCTCATTCCCAACCTCCATGCCCCGCCTCTATCACCCCCTCTCCGCCACCATTGCGCCCCCGTCAGCCTGTTGTGCCATCAGGTCGTGCGCCACCTTGCGTAGGCCGCCCCGCCGGTTTGCCTCTTCGTCGCATTCTCGTGCGCCACTCCCCATCGGCCCTGATCTGCATCTCAACGACGTGCGCCACTCAGGTTGTGGCTGCTCGACGGCGGCAATATTTTGTTTTGGAATTCTGAACCTGATTATATGTGTGTGCTTGTTCTATGTATATCTGAATTCTGAAACCTGCAAGTGTATGTTGTAGTTATTTCCGTGTATACTTTCAATTATTTGGTTTGAGTCTCAATTAAAGGTTAGTAATTATTTGTTCTCATATAGTAACATTATCGGGTATATACAGTAGATAATTCCTCTACCCTTGGTGCTATTTTACATGTGTTATACTCATTTGCTTTGTATCAGCCACAGAATATACCACATAGGAAAAACATTATGAGCTTTCGTGAAATTCTGGTTTCACTGGGTGATCTTTTATTTGCCTTTATTCTGGTTTCCATGCACCTTGTAAAAATATGGTCCGTGAAATATCACACCCGAAAATAGTCAACAACTTGGCGTGATTTAATTATGGGAAACTCTTATCATCACCCGGCGGATTCAATGTTGGGCGTCCACCGCCTCCAGCACGTGACACGTGTCCATCTGGACCCATTGCACCGCTACATTCTTCTTTCCTTATCTCCTTCCCAGTCGGCTCTTTTTTCCCAACTCTTGCAGCATGCCATGGCGGCCACACTAGTAGAAAAAGGGTCAAACGTGAAGCACATTAGTGCCGGTTTGTATTTGAGCCGGCACAAATGTATACATTAGTGCCGGTTCCAACGGCTAGCCGGGCCGCTCTC